AAAGAAAGAAAGAAAAAAATATTAGCTTAAGGCAAGATTACCACCCAAAAAATACAAATACAACATTAAAGTCTGGGACACTAATGCATAAATACAAAAGAAAATGTTAAGTTATATTTCAAACTGAAAGAAATGATTTAAAATCTTAATTGAAAATACATGACTCTCATTCGGGAACAAAACTTGAGTCTAATAAAGTTCATACTCTCTTCATCTAACAGTCAGCAGATATAATGGAAATGTAGGGACAGGAGTTAGAAACAAAAGAGAGGGCAAAGACAGAGAAAAAGCCAAAATTAAGAAAAACCATTACTCTAGCCTTATTTACAATAATATAAAATAGCAACAAAAATCTTGCTTTTTCCTGAGATAAACATTATTTCCAGATTAACAACCAAATGAAAACATTTTATTTGCTCCAGGAAAAGGAAAACAATTTTTTAAAAAAGCCTTAAATGACAACAAAACAAAAAAAAATTTAAGGAAAACACTCATCAGTATTCACATTAGTATTATAAATTTGGAAACACACACAAATCATTCATTCATATATTCAGCCAATGAAATTTTACTCTAAAACCATCAGGTATCCAACTAAACTCCATCTGACACAGAGATAACCTTACAACTAATGTCAAGATTCAAATAGTTCCGTGTTCTTTACTGTTAGTGAAGCTTCTAAATACTACTGCTGTATTAGGACTCTTAAACAACTATTTCAATGAGATGTTTAACATTTCTCTCAACACTTTCCAAAGATACACAAAGTTACAACAACATGTTTTAAAAGTGGGTCCATGAATCAAAGTTTAATGCATGTGTAAGAATGAGAAAAATCAACTTCACAGATGTTTCTTTTCCTTTAAGTACTATCCTTTAATGAACAGCCTTAAAACCTCTGGTCCCTACCACAAGGTTATGTCTGTCTTATGGTGATCAAATGCCTGAATGTATTATTCTTTTATTTTCTTGTTTTTAAAAAAGTATCACTCTTAGGGCCGCGGAGATTGCTCAGTGGAATAAAGCACTTCCCTGGCAAGCGCAAGGGCCTGAGTTCAATCCCCCGTTCGCCAAGAAAAAAAAAAAAAAAAAAAGGTATCACTCTTTAAACATTTGTGGCCCTCCACATGCACTAAAATGCACATCAACACATTTCATCGGAAACTTACATTCTAGTTCTTCATAAACAATGTAATCCAGGTTTGTGTACCATTTGTTTTAAGAGACAGTTTTAAAAGGACACAAGTTTGATTTTAATTATAGTTAAGAAAAAAAAAAGATTAGGTTTAAACTTTTACAAACCAATTACTGTAACTTCATCCAGTGATACGGAAAAGAAAGTGAAACTGACCCTAAAAACAAAGTAAGTGAAGCATCAACTACCATTATTCATAAACCCTATACACTTTGAATGAATAGAACAGCAAAAAGTGAATTATTTAGATTCCAAAAACATGTGTGAGAAACTGCAATATGTTTGTTGCTTTGGAAGAGGCGTTAACTAAACAGTTTTCAATCACTTTCATTGTTACAATAGTATATTTACTTGAAATAACCAAGCTTTCCCATTAACAAGAAAGCCCAAAGTCCCCCGCCAACATAAAAGAACTATTCAACAAAAGTAATCTCAACTACATTCGTTATGGAGATTAAAGTCCTAGATGATAAAACTTCTGTCCCATCAAATTTTCATTTCAAACATCTGAAACTGGTGCTCTGCCCGACTACCCCTAAATCCCGCACCCTCCTTTCCAGGTAAGTTGGCTTTTCCTGCCCCAAAGATAAAGAGCGCCAGAGAGAGGCACACATGCTTTTAGGGACGCGCCGCCCGCCACCCCGCCTGCCTCCTCTCCGTGCCCGCCTCGCCGGGCGTGGGCAGCTCGGATACCAGGCATGGACCAAGGTGGGCGATCCCGCGCGGGCCGCCGGGCAGAGGACGCCCCGGGTGGGAAAGTTTGCCCGGTGCAAGGACGGGGTGGGGGCGGGGAGGCCGGTCCGGGGCTCCGGGAACGCGAGGTGGCAGCCACGCGGGGGGCGGCGGGCGGGCGGCGGCCAGCACACGCCCACCCCGGCCACAGCCCCAGCCCGCCGAGCCGCCCCGGAGGAGCCCGCTATCCCGCGGACTCCTGGGCCGAGGGGGCGGATTGGGCCCCGTGGGGTCAGGAGCGCTGTGTCTATGGCAACCGGGGGGGTCCGGCCTCCTGCACCCACCGGGGCTCCCGGCGCCCGCCC